AAGTTGTTATCACTATCTGCAAACCAACAACTCATGGCCCCTTTGAAGTGACAAGAGTTGCTCACAAAGAAACAACAAACGCTTGAAATTCTGGATGACCGGATTTGCTAAGTCAATAGGCCTGAGCTGACTGTTCTTTCCCCTTGTATAAATCGCCCTCAATGTTGCAAAGCAAAAGAGACTTTCAAATTGCATCGCACATGCAAAAACAAATAAAAATGCCCCTAGTGTTTATTACATTCTGTCTTAGGGCCAGACCCTTCAACTGATTCTCCAGTTTTGACATGCCAAAGAAAACCTGCTGTTTGATTCATGACTGTTCCCACCGCTGCCAGGAAGTGCTGGGGTAAGCCTCACGTCAGATAAACATTCGTGTGTATCTGCTTCAGAAAGACAGGCAACAGCACAAGTGTAGTAACTAGAGAGAGCCTGAAAAGAGGTGTTGGTAGGACACCCAGAGATAACTGCTGCTTTTCAAAATACAATTAATAAGGTCAGATCAGCCACTGGCTTCAGAATCTCAACTCCTTTTCCTGCTCAGCTTTGAAATTTTATTTATAGCACAACTATTTCCTGAGAATGAATATCTGAAATACCATTCATTTATAAGGCAGAAGAAAGTCAGGAAGAGATTTACAGTATTGTAGCCCATAATACCAAAAAATTTAATTCGGCAATTTAAATGGATGTCTGCAGATATGAACAATATTTTCAATACAACAAACAGGATAAGCAGAAAACTCCTGATGAAGTCACTGCCTGTAATTCAGATAGTTCAGTCTCCCAAGACCACAAGATAGGCTTTGCTCTTTCTCTTGTGATTGCACTGATGTCAAGCTAAGACCAGAATTTGTCCTTGTATCCTACACCAGTTGCTAAACAGGGGCTCTGTACTGTATGGTGCCCAGTACGCTGCTTTTAGTCTATAACACACTTCCAGGTTTCCAGAGGCTGCTGATCCCATTGAGCTTTGGCACAAACTGCTTTCCTGGTCTAGCGTAGTACTGTTTAGGGACACTACAGAACTGAGCCCCTCATGTCTCCATCAGAGACAGGTCTACAGTTTCTTTGATAAAAGTCGCAAGATTTGACCTACCTGGAAGATCTTTTTTGCTCTACTTTGATAGAGGGAGAGTCTCCTGAATGGAGGAGAGTCTGCCTGGAATGCAGGTAAGCTTTAAAGACTCTGAGTCAGCTTTGAACTCCAGAAGTGACATGAGGTACTGTTAAAAAAGAGGGAATGTCCAGATACTCTTTATTTTTTTGGATACGTAGCCAACTTGCTACCTTTTCTGCCTCAGACACACCTTTACAGATTGTTACACTTCAGCAGGTCAACATAAAAGATCTCTGGGGCTAGAACCTGGCTAACTGAAGTTGCCAGGCATGAATTGCCTACAGAAACCATTGGGAATTGCACATATGTGCTGAAGACAATGCACAGTTAACCCAGAAAAAACATCACTGGGTTTGATCCAACACAATTAAGCAACACTGTATACAGCATTGTCTGTTGAAAGCTAAGTTAACAGGGAAGCAGATTTTTTGTTACTGTAATAAATTCCATCTCTCATCAAGACAGTGAAGAAAAACCATGCCAGTACTGCCACAGCCCTGCATTCTAATAGTTTTCTTACACGCAAAATGACGTTCAACAATATTCATGTAAATATACACAGTGAAGCAACTATATATTGATGAGAGATATGCTCCACTGTTAAAGAGAACTTTAGTACTTCTGAGACCTGAAACGTCCGGCATCCAGCCCCACAATGCTCTTATGTATACACATGGGAAGGCACAGGCATGCATCAATCATGCCTCGAGCACAGTGTGTAAAAAATATACATTGTTGTTACCGTTTTTTGGTTTGGTTTTGTCTTGTTTTTAATAAAAAAAGGAATCTGCTTAAGTGTTTGTGGAGTGTATGAAAGCGCCTTCTAAAATTCCCACGCTAGAGTGTCACCTGATGGTAACAAGCACACAGCAATATAGTGGGTAAGGGGAACAGAGCAGTGACAGACCATGGCGTAGAAAAATGCAAGGACATTTCCTGAAAGCTACACTCACTGATAACGTATGAGTCTATGCCAGTTAGGGAGAAATCACTTAAGCAGGAAAGAAAGAGAGAGTGAGAATGTGTATCTGTGGGTAAAAGGAAGAAGTTTTAGAAGCTGGTGTGCATTGTATTTTCCCTGTTGCACTAAATGAAATATAAACTAGAATGGCATGAATATAGCAAATCCACAAAGTTGCCTGCCAGTGCTCTTCCACCATCCATTTTGCACCACACAGGCCAGGCAAGCTAGCTGTGAATCTAGCTACTTGATCTTGATACTTGTATTAGCCCTACAGGTGAAAACTGCTGCCTGTAGCTTCCAAGAGATGAACAATCTAACCCATCTATCTCCTACCTTCAGGATAAAAACATTTCTATCCATTTTATCTTGAATATTAATCACATCTTGCCTAGAATTCTTAAGTGATTGAATTTGTGAAATGTGTGCATTTCTCACAAGTTCTCATTGCTGTTTTCAAAGAGGAAGCCTCTGAGTTAATATTGTGAGATTCCGATTTGAGCCTTAGGGAGCTTTCCTGAGGGTTAGCAATTTGGCCAGACTGCACAAACATCCCTGCAACATACACAGTGAGAACAGGACATTCTTTGTCCTATCCACAGTTAACGAGATGCAACAAAAACTTTCAGATGCTGACAGTTGTCTGATCGTGAACTGCTCAGATCAAGATACAGATTTGTTCTGTCTAGGAAGCCTCTAACTAAAGGGATAAGGACAAATGCAGCAGAGGCAAGATTCTACCCCAACATTTGATGCCTCTATAACTGTGGATTTAAGTGGAAATGGCTGCTGTTCATAAAACCACTACATTTGCAAAAACAGGACTCCAAGGTGAACAGGAGAGGGACTTCAAACTGAAAGGGGATTTTTGCAATAGATTATCAAACAAAACCAGTCCATTAAATTCACACAGGGCAAACCTTTGCTAATGGGCAGAGGGAATCTGAACACTACATCTAGGCTAGCAAGCAAAAACATGGAGTATTCTTTAGTTCACAGAAGATCTTGTACGGAGTTGCTAACAGAAGATTAGAAGTCATTTTAGTCTTCTTTTAATCTGGAATTTGATTATACTGGGATTTACTCACTGGGATAACTCACTAGTATTTTCACTCTATCCAAAAAACTGAGGCACTGTTTTGTTGTCATTTTTAATATGACTGAATGCTCCTTCTCCTGATAAATTTATTATGTATTTGGACAAATATCCCTAAATCCAAGGAAAGCCAAAAGTGGATTTTTATTTTTTTTAAATTTGCAGCAGAAGAAACAAATGCAACTAATGATTCAATGTCATTACTGTAGCATTTCAGCAAACACTTCCCTCTGTCTTAGCCTGAAACATAAAATCCTGAAACAGATGAAACCTAGACACCAAGATGACCTGTTTGGAGCAACTGATCTGCATTAAAACGCATCAAAATTATCTGCTTTTGATTTGTTCTTCTATCTATGAAAATACCAAATTCAGAAAAAGAATAGCATACCTACATGTGACTGAGAAATTAACATTTTTCTTAGCTGTAAAAAGTTTTAGTACTTGAGAAATACATTGCAAATGATTATCACATACTCTGAAGTTCAGTGCAGGTTATATCTATTAGGTAGTTAGAACTCATGATAACTGGATAGATACACGATTACACATTTTCAGAGGGAAAAAGGCTGTTCTGGACTGGCATCCAAAATAATATTGTACATTCTGTTAGGGAAGAACTAAAAAACTTTTTTAGTCTAATCTGTAGATGACTGCAAGTGTACCTTCAATTTGTCATAAAAGAAATCACTGTGCTTGTGCTTTATTGGAAATGAATGCACTCTGAGTCACATGGGCCATATTCCACTGAAAGACAACAGAAAGGTATTTTTTTCAAGTTCTGAAACTTATGTGGAAAAAAAACCCCAACCACCACCAAAAAGATAAATTAAACTATCCTATTTTTCCTGCAAGATTATATTAAATATATTGGTTCTAAGCAAGCAGGCTAAATCCTTCATGGGTACTACCTAGTAATTAATTCTGCAAGGGAGAAGTTGACCTAAATCTGATGTGGCAGTGGGGAAGCATGGACTGTGGCAGGTGGGAGCCAGCAGAGATGGTCAGTCTGCTAAGTCACCGCGAGGTAAGAAAGAGATGAATTTACATCTCCTACCAAAGGTACAAACATACTTTGTAAGTGGAGTTGAGCCACCTCACAATTGCCACAAGCCAGAACCACCTCAGCAGAATGGAGCATAGAGCAGGCAGCATGTGAGCAGCTCTTGCTTGTCGCTTACTCTGCTGGACGTAGCCTATGCAGACCACTTGCTGTAAAGCTGATTGTCTGCTGCTCTGCTCTGTGCTCCCATCTTCCCCCCTTCTGCTAGGTACTGTACACCCAGTGCCCACTCAAAGCTGCTTCCTTTAGGAGGAAAGGTGCTAGGGAGAAGCAGGTCTGGTTATGACCTGGTAAACAAAATTGACTCAATAAAGCTTGGAGCTAACTGAGTTGACCAGTGAAAAAAGATGGGCTGGAAGGAGGACAGAGAAAGGCAGGAGCTGGTCTCCGAAGATCAAAAGGTTTTAGGACAATTTTAGCCAAAAGGCTGTGCTATAAACTCCACTAGTAGGCACAATATTTGTGGATGGCATCTAAAAAGACACTGCATGTCCTCCAAAGAGCCAACAGAAGAAGAAAATTTGAGTAATGGGTGCTACAGACATGCTTTTCTGTTTTGTTTTTTTTTTTTTTAATATACAAAGTATGCATCCATTGAATCTGCTGATGGTTCCACAGTGAAAAACCCTGTAATTCCTCTATTTTAGCATAATTTTTAAAAATAAAGCAAGCAAGAAAGCAATCAGTGGTTGAGGTGCCCTTAGAGGCACCCAGTGCCTGTCAGGAGACAGAGTTCCTTCCCCTTACCTGAGAGAAGCCCGCTGCTTCTTCTCAGAGCTTCTTACTTCTTCATTAGCTTTGCTTTCAGCTCTATGTCTGGCACCCTGCAAATCTGCCAACAGAGAGAAAGTACATTATTCTCGCATGACTGTCCTTGCTGATCAGCATAACTAATATGCTACATTGCAAATACATTTTTTCTTGTCGGTAGATCAAGATGTAATGCATCATTTCGTGTAACCTTCTCAATAGTGCTTTTGTCCCCATGACAGATTTTAGGTAGATGTAACCTTGAATGTAGGACATTAGTCAGGGTTAGGCTGCACGCCATGTGGCAGGTTAAATGGAGCCACATTCACACTGATATACTTGTCCCTCAGGAGGGCTTGGTAGCTTGGAGCTTGATGTTGTACTGATGCATCACATAGCTCTCCAGCAGCACAAATTTGCTTACGTCTGCACTTGACTGAGTGGATGTATATATCAAAATTGAGGTACAAGGCTCTTCTTTTGGATAATGTGCCATTTTCTATTGAAGTATCAGTTTAAATACTTTTAAGTATTTTAATTTACTACTACTTTACCTACTGAAGTAATTATGCTGATACAACTACTATTAGAGTGAATATAAGGTGAATAAGCCATCAGAATATAAGCCATTTTATAATGACAGACTCTGCCAGTACAGAAAAATGAGCAATTTTTATTCATAGAAGTTACTTATGCTTAATTGTTTATTCTTACCCAGCAGCAGTGATAGCTATGCACTTGCAAAAAACATTTTATACCACTACATCTGTTTCCACACAAACAGAGCACTGTAGTATCAGCAGAGTTAAAGTGATACAAGTCAAAAAGGCCTTAAATCTGCCTTACAGTACACAAAGACAATTACACAACATATGGGTTCTTGCTGCCTCCGAAAAGATACAATCAATCAGGAGAGGGAACCCTAATTTGCTTAAGGGACACTGAAAGGAGACACTGCAATTTTGCACCCAAGATCTAAAGCAGGGTCACGTGGTTTAAAATACCCACATGATTATTTGCCTTTAAATATATATATTTATTTGTACTAACAAAATACGAAGATGGATTTTTAAGGCATTCTTGAAGTTTTTGGTGTTTTTTTCCAACAGCTGATTGCACATCCTTACCAGCATGATTTAATAAGATACTCTTTTTCTTCTGGCTGCCGTCTGGTGCCACAGTAAGTTTCACTCGCAGAGTTTTGCTGGAACTAGGAGAATGGTTTACTGATGCATCAACTACCTCATAGATGGTATGAAGCAAGCTGGTAATATCCTATAATTGAATTGAAACACAGAAAGACACATTATTGGGAAAATGGTATGAAACCTACAGATTTGACACCTACATACTTATAACTATTTTGGACTTGAGACTGTTAAATGCTGAAATATCCTCAGAATTCACTGAACTCAAAAGAGCTGAACTTGCACAGAACCTTACAATCATCAAATGGCATAAGATTTATGAAATGGGCCAAACCAGATCAAAACAATAGTAACAGCACAAGGTACTCAGGTTTCCCAAACTGCGAATCAGCAAAATTGTGTTCTACCTGTTCTTTTTTTGATTTTAACAGAACCCAGGGACAACCATTCATACTGCACTAAAAATCGAGTTCACATGACCAAAACAAATACAGCAATCGAAGAAAATCTTGGACATTACAGTCTTACTACTTCTTGGGTTTTTGTTTTTGTTTTTGTTTTTGTTTTTTTTTCTACAGATAGCTAAATGGTTGATCATATAGAAGAAAACCAGCAAGAGAAGTGGCAGAACTGTAAACCTCAGGTTTGGAAAGAAATGATGTCTGAATGTCACTCTACCATATGCATTTTTGGGTCTAGTTTATTTTACAAAGTTCAAACCAGTTCTAAACCTACATTTTTGAACAGCAGAGATTATCCAGTCAGGCCTATTAAAGAACACCCTTCACACATCTCTTTGAAGGCAATGGGACGTGAACAAATGCTTACATGTCTGGCTATATCTGAAAGAACACTAGACAATTTTAATAAGCCAATTGTTTCAAACAGAAGAAACACTATTAAGTAGCTGGCGATGCTTAAAGGTCACTCAGGTTGATCTAATCCAGCCAGGCTCAAATAGGGTACTACTTTAAATTGCCAGGATAAAAAGGAGATCTCTTGGCTCAGGGCTTTTCCTCAAAGGGATTTCACCCAAATTGATCTTGGGCATCAACCTAAGGCCAAAGCATAGTGATCATTGTAGGCTATAAAGATCCTATTCAATGTATATCTGAGAATTTCTCCATGCTGGTATTCCTATTCCTTGATCTATCCTAGTACCTAAGCTCTTTCCAGATGCCTGTGAGCACAAAGGAAATATCTAAATCATCTTCTGTTAAGTATAACTGGCTCTGAGGATTAAGAGTCAGGTCTATAAAAATTCAAAACCTCTACAATTTTTCCTTTGCCCAAGGGTCATGCCTGTAACAATGGCAGATTGAAGTTTAGTATGCCCTAATGGGTCCTAGCACTTTGGTAGTCAATATATCACACAGTTCTCATTACCTAACCAGCTTTAAAGGTGGCACAGAAATACTAGTTTCTACTCACACAGAATTTATGGAAATACTGACCTTATGGCCAGGACAAATGATTTTACAGTAGATGATTTTCCAGCTCAATAGGCAGAATGAATAACTAAATCTTAGAGGGTCCAGACTTTGTCTTAACATGTACCGTCTCTAACTTTTCTGCACTCAGTGGAATTTCTCCAGACTTGTGAGTTCAAGACAACCTATTCATTTAAAAAAAAAAAAAAAAAGGCAGAATTTGCAGTCTCTGCTTTATTTCCCCACTGACGTATTTTCTCTATCATTGCCACAGGACTCTATACATGGGCTGTTGCTACCATGTCCGTAGCTGCTTTCCATCCTCTTGACAAGAGCCACCATCTAAAGCCTGAATAAGGGAAAGGCTGCTCAGTGACAATATGGTGGACACCTCACAGCTCTTTAACACATCTCACTTCTCACACTTCCACCCTAATTTGAAACCTAGCCAGACCTCTAAATAGACACAGCTGTATCTGACTGACAGCTTAAAGGCATGAGTTTTTCTTTCATCTATGAGAAAAAACCAACCAAGCAAGAATGTAGACAGACAAACAAAACATATCTGTCCTTTTATACTCCCTCCACACATTACATTCTAGGAGCATTGTGCTATAACCCTACACCTCGATAAGCCAAACCTTCCCCTCGAGCAGAATACTTAAGCATCATATTTATTCTTAACAGGGCTTCATACACTCAGCACTTTGGTGGATGGAGTCTTTCCCATACATTCCTCAACAAGTGTTGGTTAGCCAACATGTCATCTTTCCACACAAGGCTACTATCAAGAGGTTATTATCAACTCTTTCATTCACAATAATCTGTCCTCCTCCCTTTTTTCAGCTACACCAGATGATTGTACAAGGTGATCATCTAGTCTATTTTAACTTCAATAGGCAAAGACAAAAAGTCTTTACTCCCACTGTCTTTTTACTTTTTTTTTTTCCAGTGATGAGGTCTAACTTGCTAACTGGCATACAATCTGCCCCTTGTGTTCTGTGAGGGTCTTTCTCAACAAGCTGCTTGACTCAGCAGTTTAAAAAGTACACCCACATGCTGTCAAGGAAGGCCAGATGCAGCATTTCTGCGACACATACTTGGCAAGTCAGAAACGTGCATATATGTATCACATCAGGATGATTTATATCTCTCTGCCAAACAGGCCCGAATTAATCCAAATTAATGTCCAGGCTCTAAGCAGTTTAAAAGGCTACACAGAGGTATCAGGACACCTTGTGGCCTTATACTCTGCTGCCTTTGCATTTCATTACATGTTTAATACCCAGCTTCCTCCATGATGATCTGAACACACAGCATTCTGGCACTGAATGAATGTGGTCATCAGACTGGATATATACCAACATCGAGGTTAGCAATATCCATAAGTAACCGCTTAATGCTTATGCTGATCTTTTAAACACCAACAATGACATTTTTATTATAGGATTCATTTACTTGTGGTCCTACTTTGGGGCTGGAAACTCTAGGAAACTGACAGTTCTGATTTGGTCAAACAAGTCTGTTTGGGTCATTCGCTACTCTGTCATCTACCAAGGTCCTGGCCAAGTAGGTACCAGCCACATGGCAGCTTGAACCTCTTGTTGCTTTCTAGCTATTGCTTCACAATGATAACACAAATTCCCGAGGCACTGATCTGGTAGGAATGGCCTTCATCAATGAGTTTCCAACTGTGACTAAAACTACCTTCTCACAGCACTTTTTTGGCAGCTAATATGGTAATGGCTTCTTGTCAAATTAGTAGCACTAGACCCTTAAAATATATGTTACAAAAGTTGTATTTTATAGCTATGTCTATATTTACCCCCAAGAGAATTTTCATCTTCCAGTAGCCTGCCAGGAGACTCAGGCAATTTATGTTCCTCTTGAAAGCTGCCCCACTGAATGTTATCTGTATTTAAATTCCTTAAAGACTTGCCTAAAACCATTGAGACAGTTTTACCTTCTACACACCAGCTTGTACATTTCACTGTCGTCAAGAAATTTAGCATTGAAGATAAAGAATAAAAGCTAGTTAAATTTTCTTTTCTTCTGGTACACAGACCAGCATGTCTCAGAGACCACCTAGCAAAGAATTTAACTTTTCTGCACAATGGATTACCAATTTTACTAGTCATGTGATTTTGCAACTGCTTTGCTTAAGACTGCTTGGGACTTCCCGCACAAAGAATTTCATTCCACATTTCTCAAATTTCCTGCCTTTTAACATAAAAAATAAACAAGAGCAGATTTTTCAGCATTTCCCATTTTTCAAAAAATATAATTTGCTTGTGTTTTTTACTGAAATGTATTTTTAAACCATTTCTAGTTAAAAATCATTGTGGATTTTTAAACTAGCATATTAAATGGGTAAAGAGAAGTAAGAATTTGAAAAAAAATATTTATCTCCTTTATAGCAAATGGATTATATTTAGAGGGCAAGTAGGCTGCATGAATCTAAGTAACTTCTGAAGGGCTTCTAGTGTCCAGAACTTCAGCTGGGGTAGCTAGTTTAATCAAGTATGAAAACTGAAACTATGATATTTTTCCTCAAAGAGGAAAATGAATGCTTGCTGGGTAGCATTGAAACAGCCACCACATGCCATACTCAGATTTATTTGTGTCTTGCTCATTGAACACTGTTTTTTGCAGGGCTGAAGGATTTAACAGTGTTAATCTGCATGTTTTTCAGATTCTATTTTATCAAGCAGCTACTACAACAAAGTATATTAAAAAGAGAAACTTTACTAGATTGCCAGAAATACTGGCGTTTAAAATATTAAAAAGCAGTTAAGGCCACACATGTATGCTGCACTCACACATATATCCACAGAATACTGTACAGATCTCCAGCAGGAGATTAGAACATTCAGAGAAACTAATGGGTCTGCAAAAAAGAACAAGAGCAAATTACAATGAAATATTCTTCATCCTTTACAGAATCGATGTGACTGAGAAAGTCCCTATTCCAGATATTAATTTTTTACTTCTAAGGAACATCAGTGGTATAGGTACAATCGTATTTTTCCAGTTTTGGTGTAGCATATCATCACAGGACTAGTTAGCAAAATAGAGATTCTGTAAAAGAAACTAAGAGGCTTTTCCAGCAGAATTAATTTAACAGAATGAGATATTTGCACAAAAAAAGCACCCAAAACCCCAAAACAAACAACAACAAAACAAGTAACAACAAAAAACCCCATTGAGTTTAATAACACTGAAAGAAAACATTCAGTTTAATTCTTTGTAACTTGTCTGAGAGAGACGTCTTTAGCTCTCCTCCAAATTGAAAGAGAAAGCTGTATTTTCTCTTAATATTTCTCTCTGACACAAATCCACCAAATCTAATGGCTGAAATTATGTCTGCTCCAATACAGACAGGTACTACTCCTCTATCCATTAATTCCATTGCTCTTTCTATATCCTGAGTTAATACAATGTTGACAAACACAGTGAAGAACAGCAAATTTCAAGGTAAGAGTCAGGCTGATAAACAATAGCCTCCAAAAAGTCAGTATCCTTCTGCAAGTCAAAGATCTAGTGCTGAGTTCAGAATGTGGAAATAACCTCAAACCTTTTCACTCATTACAGAGCACATGAGAAAAAAAAAGAAACTAAAAAGGGCAAGAAAGAAGAGAGGAAATGTAAGAGGAAAAATCAGGTATTTAATGTAAGAAACAAAGAACTTCTTTAGCATTAAAACTGCATGAAGAGAAACATCACTATCAGTTCATTACCTTTCCCTCAGAAAAAAAAAAAAAAAGTACAAATGTCTCATTTGTACTTTTATTGTAGTCTGATTTTTACATAAAGCGGGATGTTTTTATTGCAACATCAGCTTTGTTTGATCATATACGTTTTTGAATCATCCTTATTTGGAACCTGAAAGGAGCTTCACTTGCTATCTACTCAACAACTACTCTAGAAGAAATTATCTTTTTTTACTCCTGACAAGCAACTTTCTTGTGTGCTTATTCCTGTGCAACCACTCACCAAAGAAACACAATTTTTCGAAGAAAGAACTGATTAAAAAAAAAAAAAAAGGCAAAAAAAGCGCTAGTGTTTATGAAGCATAATTACATTCAGAGAGTTCAATATAAAACCTCATGGATCAAAACACTTTAGTTCAATTATCCAAGTTTCAAGTCCGATTACAAATATCCATGTGAAGATAATTACAGTGCAGTTGTCAGTTCTAAAAAGGCCTGCAGTACATAATGAATTGTCCTCTTACGGCTTATGGAATGAAGGGAAACATTATTAGCCAAGTTTTGTAATATACATACTAGAGCAGGAAAAGTTATCTCCCGCTACACCAAAAGGACTGAAAATGGTTGTCTTCTATAACAGAAAAAGCAGTAGTTTAATAACATACCGTAATGCTAATTTTATAATTTGCCATCCTGATAATTATGCTTTCATAATGGGAGTATCTCTTCAAGAAGCATGACTAGATCTGAATTTCTAATTATAAGGACTATGGAATAAGTCATACAGAGTCTAGGAGGAAATCAAAGCAGTATTAAGTTCTGAAGATGTTGTTAAGATCCAGAAGAAATTTCACTAAGATGGAATTTGAATGCTCTTGTAGTGATCTGTCATTATATAAAACTCTAGGGAAATTTTATCCAGTAACTAAATCCATATCTTATTTACAATTTTCAAACATTTTAATGAAAAAAACATTTAGTCCACTCGTAAAATTGCACCCCACCTACACGTCTCTTACAAACTTAATTTAACACTGTGTATTCCTTTGGAAACTCTCTGGACATGAAGTCCAATGTTTTAAACACAATCACTTTGAATCAAATGAAATGGATGTGTGTGGGCAAGTCACTTCCTTTTCCAGTGTCTACCTTTTCCAACATGAAAAACAAGAATGATAAGTCTGACTTCTTTTTGTAAAGCACCTCAAGGTCTACAGATAGAAATCTGACTTAAGAAATTTCATCTCTGTTAAATCCAGTTATAAATCCAGGAGACATTAAAGTGCAGTTTTCAAAGAAGGAGAAAAGGTCCACACTACGCTTTTCTCACCAGAACACTGGACCTTTGTTTAGAAAAGCTGACCAGTTCTGAAAGCATTTTCATCAGCTCACTAAATGGCACTGGTGCAGATCAGCCCTCTTCCTCAGACTGTCCATTCTGTCCCTGATCCAGCAATGTGCTTCACATTCTTTTAACTCAAAGCATGTGTCCCATTCATTTTAACTGAAACTATTCACATGTTTGACATTTGCCATCGTTACATTTTTTGCTGGATCAGGAGCAGATCTGCTTAACAAATGAAGTATCTGGCCCACTAGGTTGACTGCCAGTCTCTCAGGGGCTAACAGAACAAGAAATTCTATGTCCTGTGAAGAGACTGAAGTTCCTCTTTTGTAGCCAAGATTATCTATGATCTGCTATCATTAGTCATTCTTGCACAAACAACTCTTAAATTGCATCTGGGTTCAACAGAAGGCAACCAACAAGATGGATTATAGAAATGGCACTGGAACAGCTTGCAGAAGAAGTGTGTAACAGAAACTCTACAGTGGTGCACACTATTTGTTTCTATCTTTGGTCACACGTAAAGAGCTGAAAATTATTTGGTCCCTTGGTTAAAAGCATTTTTTTTGGCACAGATTCAAGCCTGAATGTAGCAACCTCCAGACCTCAGAGTAGTATAATTTTCAATCCCTGCACAGATTTGGTTTCAGTTAAGCTGCAGTCTGCTCTTGTAGCAGGGAGAGGTAGAATTTGGCTGTAACATATTCTTTAAGTACAGTTAAATTAAGCTCTTTGGTGTACCACATAATCACAAATAATTATTGTATACATACTTAAAAGCATATTCTCGTTCTGTTCAGCACATGGAACTCCCACTGACATTAATGGGAATTCCATGCCTGAATGTAAAGGACACTCATGTGTGTGGGTTTGCGTTTTGTACATTTTTCCCCTATTCTTTGACAGTCATAATAATGAAGACTTAGCCTTGGGTCTCAAAAGATCTGGGTTCAATCTGCCACTAGGTTCTTGTGAGACTTCAGGCAAGTTATTTTATTTTTCTGGTCTCTGTTCCCATACATTAACAAATACAATACTACTTCCTCACCCCACCCCCACTTCTCCTTGCCCTCTTTCTGTATGTTTTGTCTTCCCACTTGAAACTCTGGACTTGGCCTGTAACTTTTCATCTGCTTATTCTCTTGCATGAGGGGCACAGATTGCATTTGACTATTCAAAGCACTATCAGAGTAGAGACAATAAAAAAAGCCTAGTAATGATGTTCATATACATGTTAAAAACCCTGAACAACCACCACATTTGGCAATTTGTTCATAAATGTCAAAAGGGATTTGCTTCAGTCTTCTAGGAAAAAATTCTGCCCTCATTTGGTGTCTAAGGCCAGTACACTTTCAGTATTCCTTTTGATAGGTTCTTAGTAACTTTCACAGACACCAGCATAATACTCAAGAGAGACAAAACCTGCCTATTTTCAGCTGATTATCTGAAGGCATGGGAGCCAGTAAACACACCTCACAAAAAAAAAAAAAAAAAAAAAAAAAAAGATTTGACAGCACATTGCAATAACTCTCAGTCAAAGACACTTCTATAGTGACTTCTGTTCTTCTGGAAGAAGTATCATTCAATTTAGATAGAAATAGTTCTGAAAAAGGACTGCATTCTAATCTATACATCGTCTTACTTGGCTTCTTATTTGCTCAGAAAATATGACGTGAAGACATCCTGATAATGAAAAAAATACACACGGGTATGTTTTGACAGCCATTCACTGTGGTCCTCCAGCTAATATCATCAATGTTGTTTATACTCGGAGGAAGAAGACAGAGATCAGCCTAATATTCATGAAAACAACAGAACAGTATTAGTTAGTTCTACTGGAAAGAATGTCAGAAAGCAACCTTGCTATTTGGTTAGCTTAACTCTGAAGAGCAGGATAGAAGCCAGAACAATATACATTTGCAGGGGTTTATTTTGACAATGTGTTTAGTTGTTCAGTTGTTTCAGATATTTTTCCTCCTCAAATGCCAGTACTATTTTTTTAAAAGCTAATCCCAGATATTAAACAACAACCAGCTTAAAAAGTGGTACAATACATCTGAAAACAGTAAACTACTGGTGGGATTGTTTCTAGGAGAGAAGGGTCCATGGAAACTGCTGTTTAAGTTGGCAGGACACCTCTACTTCATAGAAGAAAAAAATGTTCCTGTTATAAAGCACTTCTCTTGTTAGCAAATGCTGCACACAAAGGGGCAGCTGTACTTCGCTTACCTCACGTGTGACTCTTCCGTTGTTATCAAAGTCATACAGTGTGAAGGTCCATTCTTGCCTGTTATCTTCCTCTACAGACACATCACATTGCAATTCCTAAGAAACACGCAAAGAGCAGCTGATTACCTAAAGCAAAAGGCCTGTTTGCAGAGCAGACTCTCCGTAGAAGGAGGCTGCTTGCCTTCTTCCTTCCTCCCTTCTTCACAGGAGGAAGCTTTCAGGATATGTCTCAGGGAGGCCTCTGTCCACTACAATGAAGGAGTCTCATCACAATTGCATGATAATCCTAACTCCCTTGGGCTAGACTTTGGGGAATCTGCAAGATGCTTTCTACTTCACTGTAGAAAACACAAAAAGATACAAGAAACCTGCTCTCTGAAGCTCTTGAAATATAACGAGATTTCGCACTAAAAAGTGAGACAGAAAACTCTGCTTAACTCAGGAACAGGAAAAGAACGGTAACAGAAATAAACTCACAGAATGAGTCGGTACACCACAGTGCCAGGAGTAGTCCTTAAAACAAAGTGGACATATGGCACAAATCCCCGCCAGTGAGACTTGTCCTTGACACAGATATTTGACACCCAAAGTTTGTCAGTTAGTGCAGTACAGCATCATGCCACTGAGGCTCCTGAAACGAGCCTGCCTCGGAACTGGCAGGGAAGAATGACCTGGGAGTAGTGCCTGGTCCTTATTTTAACTGTGCTCGTGTTAGTGAGAGTGTGATCTGCAGAAAGCCTGAAAGAATCAATTTGTAATAGGAGGGAAAAAAAAAATCCCCAAACCGAAACCAAGACTTCAGTCAAGAACAGAGGATGCACTTTGACTGACTCCAGTCACCTGGGTGCAAATCATTAGCTTTTTCTCTCACCTGGGAGTAGTGCCTGGTCCTTATTTTAACTGTGCTTGTGTTAGTGAGAGTGTGATCTGCAGAAAGCCTGAAAGAATCAATTTGTAATAGGAGGGAAAAAAAAAATCCCCAAACCGAAACCAAGACTTCAGTCAAGAACAGAGGATGCACTTTGACTGACTCCAGTCACCTGGGTGCAAATCATTAGCTTTTTCTCTCAAGACCTGTGCAATCAGAATTATCCAGAGCCACAACAAGGCAAAACAGAAAAGTTACAGTGCAATTAAAATGAAAGCCACTGTATGCAAGTAAAATAAACAGCTCCAAATAGCTTCAGCATGACAGAGCTCAAAATACCTGGTTGATCTTCTGACTTGAAACCAATTCCCTACAGCAGTTACCGGTACCCCCTGTCCCCTGCTGAGTTCAAAGCCAGTCCTCTCTCAGTTGTAACAAGCCCGGCTGAAAGCTGCCAAGTGCCCCACACTCTACTGTGGAAACACGGTTTCATATTACATAAACATTCCCGGCACCTTCAAAAGCCAAATCACATCCACCTCAGATTTAGACCTCTTGTCTCAACACTTGTGTTACTGATTCTTTTATACCTTTGAAGCATTTACAATCTCGTAGCTCCTAGCTTACATAGCTGGAAAACTTTCATTTGTAGAACAAGGGAAAAAATATCAATACTTGGTTTCTTGCCACATATTAATACTTCCCTGTCCCACATTGCCTAACATAACATCTTTATGTGAGGATGTGCTCTGCTTAGCTAAGAGCCATGGCAACCTTCCCTGCATTAGTCATGGTGCCTAGTCCCAAGTGCTAACCTTTATGGCATGCCAAGAACTACTTGGGAACAAACACAGACTGCTGGTACAGTGGAGTTCCAGCTACTCTGGCACCAACCACGTTGACAGGTGTCCTCCAACGTTCAAATATCAAGGCACTGTTAATTGCAATTTATCATGCCCTTCCTGTCTGCAAATGTCTGCTACTCAAGGTAGAATATCAAATGTGCCTAGAAAAAGAGTTATCGGTGGAAGGAAAAAAAAAAAAAGAAAAAAAAGAAAAAAGAAAAAAGGGAGGCAGGAAAAGTCACCTCCCCCCAGAAGGCACACAAGCATCTCACAACACCTGAACTGCCTATGGGAAAGATACCTCCTTTTAATCAGCCTTAAAACAGCAAAAAATAAATCATACCAGACTACTAAATCTGCTCTAGAGAAGGAAACTAACACTCAAGCCATGCTGCAAGGTGGCTGCATGGTCTTTTAACTAAAAATTGAGGAACACAAAGCTCATTACTGTGACAGGCTGACAGCACTGAAAGGTAGAAGTTTGCCACGTCTGCTGGAGCGTGGAGAGATGAAAATTCATGCTGTTTCTTGCCAGTACTAGAGCACCTTCCTCCTCACCAAGAAAGACAATCCTCTAGCTGGATGACAGCATATTTCAATACTCTTATTTATTAAATCACTCCCTATATAAACAAAATCTGCCACCTACACACAATGTCTGGCCATTTTATGATGTTTGTAAGTCCAAGGAAATAGACCATAAGACTTATTGCCCTCCAGGATCCTTTTCCTCCTGCCATATGATCAGATGGATTTCCCATGTATCAGGTCAGGGTTATTTCACCTTGGACACCCAGGCACAGAAGACCGATGGTTAAGGAAGCTTTTACAGCTTTTATGCTAGGAAGATTTAACCAGGTGCAACAGTCCACGGAAGTCAATCTAAAGATTTGGTAACATGGTAGCTGGCATAGTAAATTACTAATGAAAGGATCATAGATAAAGGGTTAAACTGAATGCCTCTTCTTACTCTACATTTCAGATCCTACAGAGGAACGATCATTTGATCCTTTCCAAACTTGAGAATAAATCTCACTAATCACCTCATAAGGAGCACCAATGGTAAGACACTGCCAATTCTGCTTCTTCCTGTACCTGTTACAGTCATTGGGAGCTATATACATGCATCAGAGGATACTATTTGGTCCATGGGTTATTTTTCTACCATAATTATGTCAGTACAGTGAAACTTTAAAACACAGAGGACTTACTTCAAATTTCAGTTGCTTCTTGGAACCTGTGCGTGTGTCATTTTCTTTTTCTGCTTTCTTTTCATCTCCACTGCAAACTCCATCTGTCTTCTCTGGAGGCAAAGCCACTGCGAAAAATGTATTTAAGAAAAAATGCTTATAAGGAAATGTCAAAGCAGTCTTATATTTGCAAATCTGTCTTTATATTTTGGGTGAAATTGATTTCAGCAAACTTGTATGAGAGGATCATTATACTTGATTTGCTTTTGTGTTCACTACACATCTGGGCTAATTTCAGCAGACAATCTACCAACAGCTTTTGGTACACAGCCTCTCCTATAAACATCACTAGAGTCACAGGAAGTTCAAACACAGTATTATGAGAATATAAATCAGCAGAGCTGTTACTGTAAATAAGTTGAATAATTTGCAAAATATTGAAAGTTTGTGACATATTGCAAAAGCACATTGCATTCACCAGCAGTGAATGAAGTAAGGAAGCTGAAATGAAGTTCTCATTATTTTCCAATTTCCCTCTTCAAACACACACAAACCTTACTACCTTTCAAAAAGGTAACACTACCTGCCAAAAAGGTTAAGATGAATTTTTTCAAGTATGTATGAAAAAGTATATTTCACCTAAGTTTCAGTTAAAACATCATGCACTCGCATAATTCAATAGCACTTAGAAAGAGCATCAATATTAACATCCATCAGATATATACTCTAACACATATCAGATACATAACAGAAAGAGATATATACTTCTCATGTAGACTAAAAATCAAATGCCCAGGAACTTAATAGCTGTGCCTTTGGCTCCTGCAGAGGCACTCATCCTTGCACGTGATGAAACCCTATATCTGAATAAAATTAATTCTATATTCATTAGCATTATGGAAATATACACAATTTTTTAACCCTACCCTCAAACTTTTTAGATAGGATTTTTTTATACATGTGCATACCTCTGCCAACAATGTTATGTTCATACTTCATCAGGCATAGCAGTAATCCTGCCTACCCACCCCAAAACCAGAAGATATTGCGAGAATGTGGGTCAAACTCAGCATTTTTTCTCTTTCACTGCAGCATTTGCATTTACCCAAAGCCTTTATCCTAATGCTATGTAGGAATCATTTCTTAGGGATGCCTTTGTAAGTAAGATCTCATGTAAGTGCCAGTTGAGTAAAGTCAGATTCCTTACAAAGAAGGAGACGTGATCCCCTCCAGTTCAAGATGACCCATTTAAAATGGGGTTTACTCCGTGGCTCTCCTGGTGTTCAGCACTACTGAGTGCCTCCCAAGCATTCTCCTAGGAAAGCAAATCACTAACATGCTAGAAATTAACATATTCTATTAGCCATTTTCCAGCATTTTCTTTCACATTTAAAACAGAAGAATTAGCTTAAAAAAAAAAAATGCTGCCCTTATCGGAGAGTTTTACACTCTCAGAAATTCCAAAAGCTGTGGCTTCTGGCACAACATTCACATTGCCACACTGCAATACATATCACATTTTCTAGTCTCATTACTTTGTTTAAATTTAACACTATTGTATTTTAGTTTTGTTTTGCTTTTAAAACTGTGGTGTACTATAAGAGATTCTGTATGTGCAGTAAAGAAAGGAGGAATGAGGTAGAAAATCTGACCTTTGGGATTTCCTGACTTTGATACTTATTTGCAGTTTTGATGTTATACTAATGCCAGCTTCCACACACACAAATGTAATTGTACAAATGCAAACAGACACGGCATTTATTATACACATACTGACACACAGATACACTTTGATTTCTACTCCAAGCCATGTTAGGATTCCCTACACCAAACATAAGCTAAGCAGGAAGGTCAGTGAAAGGAAGAGAAAGCTCACTTCATGGCAGTTTCTTCCCTTGTCCTTTTAACCCAGTGTTATCAGATGAGCAGGGACTGTTTCTTAGGACGTTTTTTGTATAGTGTTTATCATAATGAAGGGACTCGTTAAAATAAATACTATTTACAATACAGAACTTTGAAGTATATCTGAAGAAGGGCCATTGGCCATATACTCACTTTGTTCATAAATACAACTCCCATAAAAGACCCCCGTAAAACAGAAGACAACATTTGGTTGCCTACCTTAGTCCAGCCTTGTTAGTTCCTTCTAAAACCAACAAGAAACAAAAGGGTAGCATGGGCCTTCATAACAAGGACAGTTACACTGACAGTGATTTCTCATAACTATTAAATACGCCCTTAGATTTTCAGTTGTTTAGTTGTACCACTGATCAGTTTCTCACATGAACAGTTCTAAGCAAGCTGATAGAAACGTTTATGAGGGGCTTTTGCAATCCCTCACAGCGAATGTGAAATAAACGAATGCTGGGCTGGTATGACCCCTAGCTTTGTTGGAACAGTGGACAACCAATTGGAAAAAAAAAATCCACCCTTGTTATCACGCATACTTTTAAATGTATGAAGGTACATAATGGCCAAAAGACTTCTACAGTGTTCTCTTATCTTTTAAGTGACAGCATCCCAAATGACACTGGCATGCAAACAACACTGGGCTGAGAGCACTGCGGAACAAATCCTGCACAAGGTGACTATTCCCTGCCCCAATGCTCTTTGTTGGCTTTTTCTATCAAAACCCAAAGTGTCTTACAGACCAGTACTCTCCCTTCCACCACCATGCTCCTGCACTGTGCTGAAAGCTGCTGGCATGTTCAAAGAGCACCAGAGTTCCCCAGTCCACAGGGTGCTTCAGAGAGGAACAGCACAGAGTTACCTTCTGGTTTTCGGAACAGCCCATCCACTGGCACGTTTAATAACCTTTCTGGATGTACAGTTTGTGTGTTCAGATAGGAAGCTTTCACTTTAATGTATAATTTATGTAACAGAGGCAAAAATGTGCTCTGACAAATTAGTCTTCTCAAAAAACAAGAGTTCATCTATTGGGGAAGGAGGAGATACATCTTGCAGTACACTCCTTCAGAGAGTTTAAATACTGTATGCCAGAAATTATCCTCTTTGAGCTTCGCTGACCTTTGATCTGAAGAACTCATTGGCCTTGCTGCTCCGGGGAATTATCCTTTGAAATCAGTTACTCATTTTGGAGCTCAGATGAAATGGGGAAATCTGGTGATCTCATCCTGATGTCAAGTTTCATTCAGCAAAGAAAAATTAATTCTAAATGAGGGAACTTTAAAGAAAAATACGGAGGTATTAAAATAATATTTACGAGTGATCAAATAATGTGTCTGTGCATATATCCTCATGCGCCTTATCCAAACCCAATGAACACTTAAAAATACATACTGGAGTACGACTGTTTTGTCTGAGAAGGGAAGGATAAGTGTTTGGTATCTTGTTTCTATACTTAGTTTTGAATATTGACATGTGCTAAATTTCATGAAGGATACAAACACATGCTGAACCTACTTATAAATAAAATGAGAATGTCTGCTTGGGACAGTTAAAACGGGCAGCCTGTAAACAGAGATCCACCAGCAAGCTGCAAGCCAAGGTTCAGACATATTCACAATGTGAACTTCCTTTCAGCTCTGCCAACGATATTAAACTAGACCAGACAAGATAGCTATCTCAGAGGAGTGTCAAGAATTAATAGACTTGTATTTCCAAAGTCTAGGCCATCAGAAATAGGTCCACATACAATATATCATCTGTGCAAAAATACTTACTTACCTCCTCACTCAGATAACAAGTCCTGACAAAGAGAACGTGCTATCTAGACAAATACATAGAGAAACCTGTCCTTGTTGTGGGAATCCACAACTGAAGGGGAAAAAAAAAAAAAAAAGTATATTTATTGCTTCTCATGGGAATAACCATATGCTCTCAAAAACAATGTTCCCTAACAGAATGTTTCATGAATTGAAACACTACATATGTTTTCTTTATGATGTTCTCTTTTCTTGTTCATTATTAATGATCTTGTATTCACTTCTATAACCTTAAGACACTATAAAAATGTGTCTGGACAATATTTGGAATTGGAAAGACAATAAAGGAAAAATATTAACTTGGAAAAATTGTGAAATACTATTCTTTCACAAAAAACAAACTGACTGGCTTAAGTGTACTAGCAGATGTTTCTCTCCAAAATTGTTAATTACTACCACTGCTTGTAATTGAGGTGGGGGAGGAAGAGAGGGAGAGAATGAACACAAGTTTAAAGGCATTAAGACTCATCCCTGAAGAATTAACTCTTTTTTTCAGGTGTTTATTCATTCCTAAGAAAAGAGGGTAATAATTCCAACTGCTTCTTAGGAATCACCAAAAATCCCAGAAATGAGGTAAAACTGATTGCTGTGCTGTGTCTATTGAATGAGCACAGAATACTAAGCTTCAGACAGCCAAACCATCCTTCACTCACCTTCATCCTGCATCTGAGAATACAGGGGGGTGGGGTGGGGGGTGGTGGTGTGGTGTGGGGCAAGAAGAGAGTCAAAATAGAGCTGCAGTCAGTTTGGAAAGGGACTGTTTAAACTTTTACCCTCACTCAGGTGGCTTGTCATTTCAGATTTCTCTAAGCCTCATTCAAGCAAAACACCATGCTCTTTGACAAATTATCTTCCTTCTCAAAGTAAGGACAGTTTCACTCTGTTTTCCAACTATACTTAGCATTTTAGTCAGAGGGATTAAGAGGATCTTGTTGCCAGAAACAAAAAAGGATGCAATTCTGATGAATGTTCAGGTCTAAGTTACAGCTACCAAGTCCAAATTTGCACGGCATTTAGGAGAACTCACACTAAAGATGAACTACTTCAGAGCCTCTTTGGGACAACAGCCATTCCAAAAGATATATGATGGATCATAGAGCCTTAACTCAGAAAGCAGAACTATGGGAGAAGTTACACAACTCCACAGTGATAAATTATGACTGGACATTACCACTGACCATTATCTTAATGTCAGGGTCATTACTGTGTAATTTTTGAAAGAAAGCAGAGTAAAGGTAAAATTGGAGAATTCACAAAAATGCCACCTGTGAAAGTCAGCATCTGGCATACATGAAACCAAACTCTTTAAAGTGAAACATTATTAGCCTTCCCCTCAAGTTGGATAGTGTGGATTCCATGGCAATTTTTTAAAACTACTACCAGAAATAAAGGGACAGAATTAT